TATATATATATATATATATATATACATAGGAAAACTTGTGTATCTAAATATTAACGATAATCAAAAAAACATAAAATAGAAAAATAAATATTTATTTTTTTTAGTTTTTGTGTTAAAATATATCAAGCAATAAAATGATAGTTGGAAAGATATGTGTTAATAAATGTGATTGTAATTTTTTATTACAATTGTGCGTTATATTTTGATAAATACGAAAAGTCGCAATATTTAATATTTTTTATCGTACAGCAGATATGCATCATGGCACAGTTCCTTGTACTTATATAAGTACAATATTGTAAAATATGCGCAAAATATACAGTGATTTCTTTTTTAAATATCTATTGTACGATCAAAGATATTAAATTTTACGATTTTACGTTCTTATCAAAATACGATTCACGATTGTAATAAAAAATTATTATCATGTACATTTATTGACGCGCACACACACACCCATATGTGTTTATATATATATATATATATGTGTGTGTGTGTGTGTGTGTATAAAAAAGTCGTTTGGAGAATTTGGCTTGCAAAAAATTAGCTTTTAATTATTTTATGCGTATAATATTCCGTGCGTTTTCTGTTCTTTCTGTACATCAGCACATTACATTATATTTACAGTTATATAATTAACGCGCATAATTGGTACATCAAGAGCCTAAGATCCGCATCTCTCATCAGGATTATCATGTGATTCGCTGTTTCGCTGATCTCTCTTTGCGAAGATCAGAAGACAATTTATGCGGATTTTCACCGTTACGTAATTTCACCGCGTCCTATTTCGCGGCGAAGAGGCGCTCACGTGGATGGACAAACGGAAGAGAGCATCCCTAGCATGTGACGCCGGTCACGTGGCCGACGACGGTCCACGTGCTTTCGAGTCTTGTCGCACGTTACGTAAGCGAAAACACGCAGTTCGCAATCGCTGACGCACGGCGATTGTGTCCTGCGAATATTAATTAACGACTTGTAATCGACGTCCCCGTCCCCATGCGCATTTTATTATTTAATTAATAAAGACGAATAAATGCGTCGGGCACCCGGGACTGGAGGCTGGAGCATGTCCTTCATTGTGTAACGCACGCCGACGGTGATGGCGTTGACAGGGAAACCAACGAGAATGTCACAAGCTTCGCTTTATATCGCTTTAGCAATTATCGCGGGGTTACCATCCAATTTCACGGCACGGTTATATATCGTTTCTCACTTTTAATGTGCACGGCGAGCGTACGAGATTTTCGAAAAGATCGTACAATCCACTGATTTTATATTGCATATTTCTTAATGCAGGAGAAATTGTCTCTGATGTTTACTAAGCACGCGAACTGTATCTATAAATACACGTAATCTATCTATGTGCATGAGATAGGGGCACGTGTGATAGTAGGTTTCGATCAGCGGATATTCGCCAGCTGAATCTAATTTAAATGGCCCGTATTTACACTACATGGCGTCATTACAGTCTTTGTATTTGCGAGTCAATACTTATGCAAAACACATCGTATCTAGTTTCATGAAAAATTGAATTTTTCCTTTGGGAACACCAACGAATGCAAAGTTTATTCCGCAGCCTTTCACGTACGGATAATCAATTTAATATTAATTCTCCGTGTATCCTTTATATCATATCGATAACACATCTTTCAAGAAAAAATTATTTTTCAAGCACAAAAATGAGGATAATCCCGTTTCTTGCAGTTTCTTAGACGCTGAATACGATTCTTTCAAATTGCTCTATCACGTCATCATTCTTAAAAATCAGAAGACACGTCGAGTTTTTATGAATTGTTTTTGTTAACAATCGATTAAATCCAACAAAAGAGTCGTTGGCACAAAATAGTCTTTAATTTATAAAGTATCTTTTGAATAAAACCATATAATTATTCTGCTAGAATTATTCTATATAACGCGTCTTTATATTGTCCAATAGAAGATTCAGGATCACGTTGCAGCCACTGCACTTCCTTTCCTTACGTGAGAAGAGAGCACAATCCCCGAGGCGATGTTTCGTTACATATGGGTGATTGAACAAATAGAAGTAGAAGTATGCCATAGGTTGCACGAATAGAAGTATGTTACAATAGGATCCTTATTACGTATGCCACAATATTCCCACCCAATTTATCATGAATTTAAAAATATATCTCGAAAGTTCATTTTGTTCCGTTTGAAGAAGAATGATCTTGCTCATATCGTTTAATTCAGTCGGCCGCGAATATTTTGAAAATTTGCGAAACTTAATATAACAATTTCTACTTGATACTCAAATCGTTGGACTCTTTTTCTTTGCGCACTGAAGGACTCCAAAATTTCATTTCAGATTAATAATTTCAGTAAAGCGTAAAACTCATTTAAGTATAAATTAACTGCAAAATTAAGTACGTAGAAAGTATACCAAGCAATCTCACGTTGAAAAATCTTAAGATATCGATTAAAATGAAAATAAAATGGAGCGTAATGTATAACAATATTTTCATAATTATTAGATTTGAAAGATTAATATGATAGGCAATAAGTTAATTTTTTCCTTAAGAAGATTTGTTATGAATAGCAGCTTGTCAAAAACTTTCTAAATAATTTCTTAAATTTCTTTATAACTGAATGATAGCATATTTGAAATTTTCTTAATAATCTATCGTTACATACGCGCGGATTAAATCATTGGAAGCAAAAGAAGCAAGACCTTTTCTCATGGTATATGCGACAAACAAGTTTTCGGTATAATATTACATATTTGTATGTGATAGAATTAATCTATCAAATATGACGGTAATTTCACCGAAATGAAACGCTCGAAGGCATGGTTATCATGAGAAAAATTATGTACTCTCTGATCTCGAGCGAAAGAAGTGGCGATAAGGGTAGTAATACGGGATTGGCAAACGGATGGACCAATGACGAGGGAGGCTGCGCTGTGGTTCGAGTGGTCGCGGGATTCACAAGTGCGAAACAGTCGGCACGCGTCCTTCGAGACGTTCGCACATTTTTTGATCTTCGAGAACTCGCGAGAGAACCCTCGTTCCGAAAGAGTTATCGGTATTACATGACATATTACGTGATCTCTCCATTGTCTCTTTAAATTTTCAAGTTCGGATTTTAATCGTAACTAAAATCACGTTCGTACGTTTTTGGAATTTTATTTTTGCCATAATAAGTTACTTTGATAATAATAAAATTTGACTGTACGTACTCCAAATTAATTTTGCTAATTAAAAACATTAACTTTTATTTTAAATATATGATTTTCGTATGTAATTTATTTTTTAAAATACAGTTTGATGTTTTTTGCACAATACAAAAACGGTAAAATAATTATTTGATTGTTATTGGTTACTTTTTTGTAATTACTTTTTTGGTAATTATTTGATTGTTATTGGTGAAATATCGTTATAACTATTTTACATATTAAAATCTTTGTTTCTTTTAGAAATTAAAATTAATGAGTAAAAACTTTAAGCGATTTTATTAAATTATATTCTATACACGTTTTGTTTTAAGACATTAATATTAGGTTTCAAAATTTGTATTTTACATTGCTTGAAGAGCTTCAAAGAATGGGAGAGAGTTCGCCAGTGCGTCTGACTAGTTCCAGCTTGAACTATTAAACGGGAAAGATACTGGTAAGATTTTTAGTTTATTGTTGCGGAATAAAGCATTACGTAATAAAATAAATGCGCGCGTGCGCAAAAAATAAACAATTTATATTGTTTATATTATTTAAATATTAATTATTTTAGATAATAATTATAATTTAATAAATGTTATTTTATCGAAGCGCAGACTTTTGTATAAGTACAAATAAGAAATTGTTATCAAAAATTACTAACAATACTGCTCTATTAAATATATTTTTATTTTTAGCTTATCTAAAATTTTATAGAATATTTTATACATTGACAGTTAATAACGAAATTTTTAGTTTATCTAAAATGTTATAGAATTTTTTTACACTGATAGTGATATTGAAATACAAAAAATATTTCAATCAAAATTGGAATTGATTACACCGTACAAAAGCTTTATTCACGTTTTTATTATTTAACCTTTAGCCTTTTGCTTTGCTTGATAATGGAAAAGTTTTCAATCGATTTGTACCGTGAATCGTGAAACTGATCAAACAATAGTTAAACAATAAAGGATTTACTGAAGTAAAAAATATGTCTGCTTCAATCCGTACAAAGTATGGACTGAAGTCATTTAATTATGATTCTAGCTTCTAGTTTCTTAATATATCCCTAAGAAAAGATACATATTCTTCTATTTTTATTATAAATTTATTATAAATTTTAAACTGCAAATGAAGTGATAAAATTTTTATCGATATTAATCTGTAGTAATTTTGTTACCAAATTTGACTTAAAGTGCATTTTAATATTAAATATTGCTTTAACTAAGTTTATTTTGATATAGATTATATCGTGTTTTACAACTTTTAAATTTATGCATATTAAACAACTATTTGAACGCGGTATTTGAAATTTTCATTTACCATATTAGATTTTTACATTATAGATGTTTGGATTGACGCACATTAAATATGAATTTTCACATTATTTTCTAATATTCACAAACAATTTTTGAAAAAACAAAATGCGCATTTATTAAAAATTTAATATCTTTTGTTATAAAAATTGTTCTTAAAAATTTTATCTTTGTGAATATCTTTGCCAAGAGAACCTCTTCTTAAAAAATTGCCGCCGTTCGGAACCGACGTTAAACTGTAGGTCCCGTATATCTGCGTAAAAGTGTAAATCGCAGAAATACGAAGGAGAGAGGTCACCATACTCTGACAAGGGTAATAAGACTGAGAGAGAGAGAGAGAGAGAGAGGGGGGGGGGAGAGAGAGAATATTAATTATTATACATTATTTTTGTCACATTAATTTGATTATTATTCTTATTTGGAAAATTTATACTATAAATTTATATTGTTTCTAAAACATTATGTTCGATTGAAATTCGATAAAATAATATTCCTTTCCATTCTCCCAATATATATATATATATATATATATATATTATATGAAAAATAAATTATATTAACGTGTAACATGATTTTTCTGCATAAAAGAAGCTGTTTACATTTGAAATAAAATTAAAATCTTTGAAATGCGATATTTCAATACAACAATATCAACAATACATTAATAGTAATTTATTTTATAAAGTACAATACATTACAATATTTATTTTAAATTGTCAAAAATAATTTATATCGGATCTATACAGAAATACATTTATTTGCATCGTTGGCGAGTTATTTCTAGAAGCAATTTTACCCTCAAAGATTCTTCACCGCTAAGTTTAATTACTGAAATCGTGTTTATCGTTAGGGATTAGTCATTTACATAATTGAGAACATCTCGCGTGTCCTTTGGGAAATGAGAGAAATTACGTTTATCGCTTTAATGATGTATTCTGAAATTACCTGTACATATCGAATCGATATAGTCTCTAAAATTAATGTAATCTGACACAAATAACTTTACCTTATAACGCTTGATAATGAACTCTGGCACGTGTAAAAATTAAAAATTGCATAAAAGCCTTTGAAGCTACTATTAATAAGCACGGTGATGTGTACGGCTAATTAAATCTGATAATTTAATTACATGGATATAAAAAAAACAGTGTATTATAAAAGCTAAACTAATATAATAATTATTTATAAGTTTAAGATTGGGATATTTTTTACCAAATTCAAGGATCTATTATAAAACAAAGATTTTTAAACTTTTTGTAGTTTACGGATAAGGCTTCTTTGCTTCTTTTATTTTAATATACGATTATAAAAGATTCTGATTAGAAAAAAAACTGGTTCTAGTTTTGCGGTTCTAATCTGCAACTCTCGCCACAATCGATTATCCCATTTTAATGAGAAATCTCGAACGTGAATTTTTGAGTAAAACCTGTGGTCTGTCAAACTGTGATTATACTATGTTATACCATTATATATATATATACCATTGAAAGATTATAAACAGTGAGCAGATTAACAAAATTAAATTCTGAAATTTAAAACAGAATTATCAAAGTTGTATGATATTTGCGGAAGCATATTTATCTATTTACAAAAATCTTTTATTAACAATAATATTTATTGACACATTATACATATATTTATTATTATTTTATGTTAAAAAATACTTTTGCATAATATTTTTTTTAATAAATGACATGTTATTACTAATTATAAGTGTATTAATTCCAATTTTATACAGTTTATTCAAGAATTTCATATTCAAATTGCGTTTATAAGATAACAATAAAGTAACGTATAATGTATAAACAAAGATAAATTTTTAAATCTATATGTTTGTATACTAATTTATTGAGTATATAGAGTTATTTTAAGAATTAACTTTTCTTGAAGAATTTTCAAAAATATAATAAAATTATATGAAATTTTCGAAAGAATGAGTGCCAAAAACAAAATTTTTAAACTACTTCGATGGAGAACGTGTTGATTCTCAGCTTGACCTATTTCACTTGAAAGCTTAACAGGGCCGTGAATATCGGCACAATAAAATGAGCGTTAACTGGATTTTTATGTTTAACATGGAAAAAGTTAACTCAATAATTAACTTAAAAGCATATTAATATGTACTAATCGTTGATATTTCTAGTATATAAAATATACATCATATAGGAAAAAAACTCAACTTTAAAATACAATTCTGTTAAAAATACTTAGCTATTAGATTAAACACAGCAAACATTCGTTAATAATAGGAAAATAATATAATTTTTTGAAAATGATAAAAACTGTGTCAAATATTTGTCCCGCAGGTAAATTGATTCTGAAATATTTATATCACTTTATTTAAACCACTTTATTCTTTATACTTTTTAGTTTTTTATTAAATATTATTTTATAACTCTATTTTTTACACAATGAGGCATGTGTAATAAATGCGTTTGTATGTGTAATAAATTTTTATTTCTGCTGATAACGGCTTTGACGTCGATATCAATGCAAGTCATTTTCAGGCATAAGAAGTTTGATAGTTTATTTCAAAATTGGTTTTCGTTCCTATTATCGTTGAAAATTATCGTTGTAAAACAACTTTACATATGTACAAAATCATGAAAGAGCTCGTACATGTCAATTTACACTGTTACGCAAAGTAATAAAGCGTAATTTATTATTCTAAAATTTTTTGCAATTAATAGATCGCAAACCATACTTTGAGAATACTTGACATAAAGTACCTACATTGCTTCGTTTAAAAGCTACTAAATTTTTTCGTTTTTTTCTTAAGTAGAAGTTTTCTTAAGTAGTCCTTAAAAAAAGATGCATTTATTAATGTCGGTAGTATTCTTAATATTTCGTTTTAACACGAAATTCTTCATTTTTGCTTCTTCACAAAGCAATTTTACAGCTCCAACATTTCCAAAGAAAGATGATATATAAATCCAAACAATGCGAAGGTATTTCTACAGTAAAAAGAGGGAATATAGTCCTTAATTTACTCCAGAATTTTTCTCTTTTATTTAAAAAGGAAAAGAGGGAGTATATAATCTAAACGGAAGAAAAAGAAAATAGAAGATAGGAGAGCTTATTTACAGGATGTCGCAGCGTGACAAGCACTGGAACAGAAGTGTAGAGACACCGAGCAAAAAATGGGAATCTTATTAGACGAAAAATGGACAGCCTGAATGCTAACGGCAACAACACTAGTGAATTCTGTAATATTCAGTACAAACAGTTCGTGGCGCCGTACGAAGGTATGATTTATTAATCCTTGCCAATTCTTGCGTCCACGCTCCTTAAAAGCAAGTGATATATTTATAATTTTTTACGCTTTGTTCCTTCCAATTACTAAAACACTATAATAAAATTTGCTTTTGTATGCACAGACATAAAAGAAAATTATTCATAAGGAGCAAGTTATCCTGTTGGCTTCTTTCTTTATCCAATTTAAAATTGTTATATAACGTTAAATGCATTTCTCAAGAATTAGAATAATTTTGCAAGAATTTAATAAGTTGAATTCACATGCATAAGAGAACATTTTGTAAAACATAAATTTTCATTAATAACCATTACGTGGAATGAAATAAACAGTGCAATATTGTTTGCTAAAAAATATTGAAATGTTTGTTTATTACTATTTAATTGAACGTTATAGCTTATATTTTATAAAGTTTATCTAAGATTAATTTAAAAGAAATGAAATTCGTATATTTGCTTCTTCGAAACGCAATTTACTAGAAATCTTTCTTTCTTTGAAATCGACCTGTTGAGCCGTATGTAATTTAATATTAGCTACGGCATTGTCGTCTCCTTTGCGGCGAACATTCCACTGCTCCTTTTCTATTTTTCAGAGCTTTGGTGTAATCCGGTATGGGATTCGTTGCTCTGTTGGCCGCCAACGAAGGCTTCTACCACGGCAAAGCAGCGTTGTCCCTTCGTGGATGGATTCGATACGACCAGTAAGTAAATAAAGCTTAATCCCAATGTAGATCTCAATTTTCCTGATAATGTTAACATTGCCTGAGTCGACAATGGATGATTGCGAGTACCTATAAGTATTTGTTTATCGTACTTTCGATGTACATCTTTCGATGACATGGTCATTTTATTATTAAGTCATTAACATAATAAAAGAAATGAATTAAAAATTTCGGTTCTTAATGGATTTTAAAGTCAAATAAATTGAACGATAAGGTAGCTATACCGTATTCTAAATTTAACTTCTTACAATTAGAAAAAGAGAAAAGTGAATATTATTGTAGGAAATTGAATATGCATATAAAAAATAAACCCGAAAACATCTCTGATTTTAAATCTTTTTTAACTTTTATTATCTTTCACTTTTTTATCTTTTTACGTTCCTGCGCATTTACTGAAACGTTTATATACTAGTTTTTTAATTGGTCAAACATGAAAAAAATTGCTAAAAATTTTTTTCCTTATACACATATTTTGTGAAAATTATCCGGATAATACTTTTTATGAAAAACTGACATGTATTTTATGAATATAAAACTGAAAATCTCTGATTTAAATCCTTTTTAACTGATTTCAATTTTTTAACTCTTATTATCTTTTATGCAAAGCACTTATAAAATAATTTCTCAGTCGATCAAACATGAAAAATTTCTGAAAATCTTTTTCGACACACATATATTTTATGAAAATGATCTGGAAAATAGACATTATAAAGAAATGACATTTCTCTTATGTACAACAATTTATAATAATGGCTTTAATTACACACAAAATTTTATTTTAATTGACATAAAAAGTTATTAGTTTTACATTTAAAAATAATAAAAAAGTAAATCTCGACTGTGACATTTTTAAAGCATTACATCATAAACATATAAAGGATTATTTTATCTGGAAATAACACAATAAGAGAAATAAAAAAAATGAAATGAAAAAGGTGATACGTGATAGCAAGGATAAGTTTAATACTTATGGTAACATATTTCCGCAAATATATTTTGCTCAAACAAATTTTAACCATTATTTTAAAACTTTATAAACGGTTTTACATCTCAAATTTAATCCACAATATTTTATATAAAGTAATGTCATAAATAAAATGCACATATTTCATATTTTTATTTTACAATGAAATTATATCCCTCAAATTGATTTGTTGAAAATGAGATACAACAATCTTAATTGGTTCATAGATAAAATATGATAAAACCGTTAAAAGATTTTTTTATCAGAGCCATGCGTGATCATCGCGAAAACATCGCGTAATCTGCACTTAAGGAAATTTTGCCGTCGTTGCAATGTTATACATCGTAGATCTTATTACGATAGGTATTAATAAGCGAATATTAATTTTAAGTAAAATCGCGATAAAAAAAAACACGTTTTTCAGTATACGATGTAATCGCGATTTCTAGTGGATAAAATTTTTAAAGGCGATGATACAGTAATGAGATGCACAGATATACTCATTTTCAAAATTTCGAGGACCATTTGTCACAAGAACTTCTTGAATGCCTTCGTGCGGCACATTGTTCGGCAATATCGAATTACTTTCAAAAACATATCGAGAATACTTCAATCATTTTCAGTAGATTTTTTGGAAATTTTTTTATATCTGTGAAAGCAGTTATTGACTTCGCAAGAAGTGTTGATAAGTATTATAATTTGATATTTGTTAATCGAAATGCTAATAATTTATTCCAATAGACATATTATTGAAATTAGATTTTTAATACTTATTCAAAATATTTCGTGTTGAACGCGGTTGAAAAAGTATTCATGCTGCAACGCCGAGATAATAAGTGCGAGATAATAAGAGAAATTTTCTTCGAGCATCTCGATACGTCTCCCTTAAATCACTTCGATCGTACGTTGATTGCATTCGATAGCATCGCTTTGCCAGCCGTAAATGCGTCGTAAGACGAATTTTTTAACTCGATATATTATCATCTCTCTTTCTCTTCTTCCGTTTCATAAAAAGCAAACCTTGCACGTTTTACTCATTCATCGTATTTCGTCTTTAAGAAACCAAATCGAGCAGGAACGTAAAAGTAATTAAAGAAAACCATATGTGTGTATTTGTATTTTGATACTTTTTCGATTTTAATTGCCTTGAAAATTCTTACTCTGCAATATAAATCTATATAAAGATAAAGATACATATGAAAGATTTACTTTTACATTTTAAATTTTATGGTAAAATTCTAGATAAATAATGCTCTTTAGTGGCTGCAATTCGATTTGTCTAATCATTGAAAAAGAATTTCCAAATAACGTTACCCTGTTACGTCATTTTGTACATATGAGCAACATGTTGAATAGTGTGAGTATGGCCGTGAGCCGCCCTTCAATTTTCTAAGCTTTAAGTAAACCTTTAAGTCAGGCTATGCAAGAGTCTTCTTTATGTTTCTTTTAATCTACTTTAATATTCATCGAATGCGTCGGTCTTTCTATTCATATTACATATTCAGCAAGATGAAATTTTATAAAGATATTAAATATTCGTGTAATTTAATGTTATTTAATCCAACATATCGTAGGATTCTGTTACATTTTAACATAAAATGTGAGATAAGATTTTAGCGTAAAATCAGACTAGATCGAACGTATGCTTTCATCGAGTTCATTGAAAATGCGTTTTACACTCGGAGGAGGCGATATACAGCGCGATATCGAGATTGTGAATTATCGATTCTTGTTTGCGTCATTAATTTTTTTTCTTTCATAAAGGAACGCTATTATCGAAAAAATAGGGAAATAATTAAAAGAGGGAAATAAATTAATAAGATTAACTCTGATAATTATTTTATATTTAGAAAAATTATACAATTTACTGTATAAACATAGTTAATTTGTATATTGCAACTTTAAGCGCGCATGTCGATTATTTAATTTTATTACAATCTAGTTAAAGCAATATGATGACTGAAACAAATAATATGCTGTTTGGCTGATCAATTTCCAGCTAATGGCATCGGATTTCCATATCCTCTTGTATCTCGCGTATTTTTTCCAGAGTCTGTAGAGAAGAAATGCGGCTACAATGGACGTTGGGAAGCACAGAACGGTACGAACATGAACGAAGAATCGTTCATCGGCTGGGCGAATTACACCACCTGCTTAACGCCAGAAATGTTGTGGCTTCACTACAGAGTCTACAACAATAATGTCGAAGGCGAGGTAAATGTCATGCTTTCATATTTGTCAAAGATGATACATTTAAATAACAGCAAGGTACAAATCTCTAAATAGTCTAAATCAAGCTTAAACAGTTATATGTATATAATTATGTAATAAAAATAAATTTTAATCGCACGTTGATTGCACATTAATTTTACAATTAAACTACTTAATGTAACAAAAGCATGATCTGTAATTGACACGTAACAGGAATCTGAAAAGCAAGTCTTTTTCAATTATAGATATTAGATTTAATCAGAATTGATTAATTCAACTTTTTGTAATAATTGTTAACAATTAATTTGTCTTTTTCATTAAAAATTATAAATAAATGTATATATTTTCGGATTAATTTAATCTTTCTTATTACGTTTAAATTTGCTTATGATGTTTATGATTTATGGTGTTATGACCCAGTGAATCCAATTTTTATCGCTTTCAAATTAGTATAATTAAAGTTGACTTTTTAAAATTTTATGTTTTAAGATTGCTTTAATTAAGCTGCTTAATAGTGTAACTGATGTATTTTAACTTTTCAATGTAACAGGTTAAAAAGTAAAATAAACTAAATATCAAGTTGATGCTACAAAGTTTAAATTAATAACAATGTATGTACATGATGGATGCAGTAAAACAGCGTTTATCATGTTCTTCATTTTAGACATTTCTGTGTGCTGTTTCTACATATTGTTCAAATAAACTACCTTCGTGGATGCAATGTGGTGATAAAAATACAAATCACATCGCATTCATGCATCATTTGCGTTTGAATTTCTCTCTCTCTCACTCTCCTCTCTTTTTCTCCTCCAATCCTCCTCCATTTTCCTTCTTGTCTCTTGTTTATCCAGTTTTTTCTTTTATTTGAAACATGTATTTCTATGTATTATTTTGCATTTTACTTGTTATTCTCTTTCTTGGCTGAATATCGTGTATTATGTTGTATTGATCATCACACCTTCATATAAGCTCTGTTTTATTTCGCTTACCGTACTCTGGTTTTATACTTTGTATTTATCCTGACTACCGACTGTTTATTATGCGTATATATATCCCTCTGAGATTAAGATTATACTCGACCGTTTTGTCTCTTTTTCTAGATGAAAATGGAAATAGCCGAGAAAACTCGTACTCTAGAGTTTGTCGGTCTCAGTATATCTCTGGTGGCTTTGCTCGCTTCCTTGGTGATCTTCTGTCGATTTAGGTGAACATTTTTTAAAGTCATTTTGTCCTTTTTTTGTGTGAAAAAATTCAATATAAATAAGAATTGTGGAATATAAAGTTCTTAGTACATCTTTTCTCTAAAACTTGCAATTACAATAATTTGATTTTCAATTCGACTTTTAATACCATGGAACTCATTGCAGAGTTTGCGATGGGCTTCTTCAAAATTTCATTTTAACAATTTTTCCGTAAAAACTTTTATTCCATCGTTGTATTATAGAATCATGTTGTATTATAGAATCTGAAGAAGTAATGAATTTCTTTCCATAATCACGGATAAACGATCTGAAATGAAACTGTAATAGAAAACTATCGAAGAAATTGATCATTATTTATAATAATAAAATTGAGATTTTCTGATTTATCTCTGGCGGAGATAACAAATTTCGTTTTTATTTAAATCGAATTTTAATAAAAACTTTATTTGAAACATCCGTGTTACTAATTAATGTCACATTTATATCTGTACTGTCGAAATCGATCATTATTTATAATAATAAAATTGAGATTTTCTGATTTATCTCTGGCGGAGATAACAAATTTCGTTTTTACTTAAATCGAATTTTAATACAAACTTTATTTGAAACATCCATGTTACTAATTAATGTCACATCATAATTTATATCTGTACTGTCGAAACATTATAGTTTAAATAATCTTTGATCTGACATTATAACGTACCTATTAATTACATTAATATAATTTATGCAAGTTTATTCATTAAAATTTCGATTGAAAAAGGAGACATTCAAAAGCCTTAGGTATTATTATAAATATTAATACATAATTATAAATATTACATATGTATTTATGAGTATTAATACATAATTGTGAATATTATGTATTAATATTTATTAGTTCAATTAATTATGATGGTCTTTTCGTAGCAGTCAAATGTGTAATAAATTGCTCCAAATACTAAGCGTAACCATCACTTCTAACACAAAATCTCTCATGTCTCTCCTGTTTCCCCAGTGATTGAACTGGAACTTTGTACAACGAACTAAATTCACAGTTTTCCTTAAAACAGTAAAATAGATTAAAAAGCTGTCTCTCTCTCTCTCTCTCTCTCTCTCTCTCTCTCTCTTGGGTTCAAGAGTACTTCGTTGAGAAATTACATTAAACAATTAAATTACAATCATAAACATAGTCACAAATATATAATTATTAAATTTTCTAAGAAAATATTCATTATTATCTAAAAACAACTGTATTCAATATTTTCTTCTAAAAGGTGTCAATTCAATAAATTCCAATAAACGTACAGTTTATATGTTGTATAATATTGAATAATTAATCACTTTTAGAAGTCATTAATTCAGGGAAATATAATTACGTGAAGTCACGTCCAGCGTACAGCTATCACTGGGGTCGCTATCACTTTGCATTAATTTACATCTTAAGTAACGGAAAGGCTAAAGTTAATGCTAAACGACCTTTGCGTCAAATTTCCTAGGTCGTTGCGAAACACGAGGACGAGGATCCACAAGAATCTCTTCGTCGCTATGGTCGTGCAGGTGCTAATCAGATTAACATTGTACATAGACATGGCGATCTATCGTAGGGAGCCGCACGGTATGCAGCGAGGAATAGGAAATACCGTAAGACGATAGAATTTTATCACTTTTATATAATTGCACGAAAAATCGGCTTCTTCGCGGAGATTTAATGTTATACATTTTTTGTGTCCGCCGGATTATTTCCTAATGTAATTACGAGACAAAAATAATTTCGGTAAATCCGCATTTTAACGAAGACAAAGCCTTCTCCACAAAGCTCAAAAACGAACTGCAGATGTTGGATTTTATCAAAACTTGAATTAAACCACTGATTAAATTCAGACATCAATTATTCACAGAGTCACTTTTCCACGCGCGTGAAGAAACGAATTTTGCACGGCTTACAAGTGAGTTCCCCTTAGCGCAAAACGCGTTTTACATTTTCCGTCTCCTTTACAGCCGGTACTATGCGAGGCTAGTTACGTGCTACTGGAATACGTCAAGACTGCGATGTTTATGTGGATGTTCATAGAGGGTTTGTTTTTGCACAACATGGTAACCGGTATGTACACTGGAACGTAGCACTCTTTACATACGTCTTCCACGAAAACCGCGTTAATCTCGTTAAAAGCCTGACATGCAAAGAATCTCAGAAAAGCTTTGAAAAAGAATGCTACCCTAGAAGAAAATAAAAAACAAATTGGTTGTTTTTTAACTGGCTAATTTTTAATACAACTTTCAACATGAAAAAAACTAAGAAATATATTCACAAATTATACATGCATATAGATAGCTTTAAAAAGTACTTTAATTCGATTTAACGATAACAGATTTCAATTTAACGATATTGTCACATAATTTTACATTTTGATGATTACGATTTTACAGTGACAATCTTTCAAGAGACGTCTTATTACCGGATATATCGATTCGTTGGATGGGGATGTCCAGTGCTGATGACCTCGGCTTGGGCGGTCGTTATGGCGTTTTATTATCATCCGAAATCAAAGTGAGTTGATTACTTAATTGATAAGAATGTACGAGATTTGTATCATTATTTAACATATTTTAATCACAAATAATATTGACAGAAGTATTTATTTTTCAAAAACTATATAATTGCGTAACTCAATGCCTCAAAATAAAATTCTATTAAATTAAAGTTTGTGTGTGTGTAAAAAATATATAATATGTAATCGTTCATATATAATATGCTTTATAAATAAATATACGTATCTCGAAATTAGATTTCTCAGATGTTGGTCGGGATATAATTTATCGTCCTACTTTTGGATTCTCGAAGGGCCCAGATTTGCGGTAATATTGGTAAGCAACTTAATGTGAACAGTTTATAACAAAATTTTTATAATCAGTTGAAGAAATAGGATCAATCACGCATTTTGTATAAATTATATATTATATTGTATTAATATACAATACATATAAAAATGTCCATAAATTTATAGACTTATTTACAGATAACTGCAATTATTTTTATATTAATAATTTTTTATTGTGCAAAAATAATAAAATTATAATATACGTAATAATGTGGATCCCTTGAAATAAACTTGCTATCGGGCGATTTTTTATAGATGAAAAAAACACAATTTACATTATATCTAACAATCAATTTAAAATTGCCAATAAGCTTTATTATCTCATCGTATTTCTACTTATTTCTGTTTTAGCTCAACTTTTTGTTCTTGCTAAATATTATAAGGGTGCTCGTAGTGAAGTTACGGCAAAGTCACACAAGCGAGATTGAACAAGTTCTGTAAGTACGCAGATAAACAGTAAATTAGGATTTCTGTTAAAAAATCTAATCAGGATTTTAACCACGTTTTCAAATTTTTTAAAATAATTTCTCACTAAAGCATTCCCGTCCTACCTCGTCGCTATCTCGTTTAAATATCTTTGCACAAACAAAAAATCAATTTCTATTTTTACCAACAAGATCATTCTCTATTTTTTGTTTCTCTATTTGTTTACTTTAAAAATATAAAAATTTCCGGATTTTGATAGTATTTGCGTGACGTTATATATTCCGCTTCGCTTATCATTTCGTTTCGTTTTAATTGAATCTTTCATGTTTAATCTTTGTTCACAAATGATCTGTGTGCACAATTTCTTAATTAAATTACATCGTGTTTCGTCAAAATACGACTGACAAGTGTGCATAATGTATATCGCGTTGTTAGATAAACGGCTTCAATTTAAGATATTTAGAAAAATTCTTTGCTACACACAGAAAAGCTGTGAGAGCAGCCGTCGTACTTTTACCATTATTGGGCATTACTAATGTGCTGTTCATGATCGAAGCCCCGTTGGACAATGTAAGCAAGTTTGCCGTGTGGTCTTACTCCACGCATTTTCTGCGATCCTTTCAGGGTCTCTTCATCGCGACACTTTACTGCTTTCTTAATGGCGAGGTGAGTTGATTCTGTTTAGAGATATATCTCAGGCGTTTAACTTAAAGTTAATGTAGACATTTTATAAACAATCCAATTAAAGGTTTACTATTATTCTTTGCCAAGAGACCCTCTTCTCAAAAAATTGCCGCCGTTCGGAACCGGCGTTAAACTGTAGGTCCCGTATATCTGCGTAAAAGTGTAAATCGCAGAAATACGAAGGAGAGGTCATCATGCTCTGACAAGAGTAATAAGACTGAGAGAGTTTTCGAGTAATTATTATAAAATTTTTTTCTACTTTTTCCACTATTTCCATAGATTATGTTTATTAAATTAACTACTAATTTGTTGAAAATTAATAATCAATTAATTATTAAATTTATATTAATAAATTTTAGAGAAAATAATATCTATAAGTAATTATAAGCATTATCTTCTTTAAAATTTTGTTAATTTAATATTTTATCAACTTAGTTTTCGAAATTAAGATGGAACATGCATGATAGCTGGAAGTTATATTTTTATTTATTCATTGAATTTTTATAACGAAAAATTCAAAATAACATTAAGAATCCATATAATTAAAAATTAAAAATAACTAATAAACAAAGAGCACAAGCAATTCAAGACCGTATTATTTTTATTATTATAGCATAAAAAATATATAAAGAAAGGTATACTATAACAATAAGAAAGATATTAAAAATGTACTTTTAATAGAATTATTTATTAGAGAGAGATAAAGAGAGAGAGAAAAGAAGAAATATACTTATAAGAGTTTTATATATTTTTTTTTATTTAGGTAAGACTCGCTTTGGATAAAACCATTGCCATTTATTTTTCTCTGAGAAGAGGCGATTTGCAAACTAAAAGACAATTGACCCTTAGCGATCAACCTCAGCGAATAACTTCAGGTAAATGTGAAAATCAATATATTTTTTAATTAAATATTTTTAAAAACTATATTGCATTACTGAACATTTAAGACAATTTCTTTTCTAACGAGCACCATGTTGAGTTCTGAAAAAAATCAACATTGCATTATTATCTCGTAAAAATATATTTCCACAGGAATATATTCGACGAAACAAATTTTTTAGAAAAATGCATAAATTCCGCCCGGGGTTAAAGAAATGACATGAATAGTCTAATTGATACTTCGAAGATACATTTTCAATGCCATCTAATGATGAAATGTATAACTCTGGCAAATTAAAATTTAAAAAGATACAGATATTGTAATTTTTTAAGAACAAACAATTGCTTTATTCTACGCATATTATTACGAGTTGGGTAGCAATTAAATAAAAAGTTTGAAGAGTTAAATAATAAAGTTAAAAAGTTAATAAATTATTTATTTTTAAATACGTTAACTTGTTGAACTATTTTCAACATATTTTAAAACTTATTTAAAATATATTAAAATATATTACTTTTATCTAAAGTAAAATTTTTTGTCTCTTTAAAAATGTTCTTTTCTTCTATAAAAATCTTAAACATTAGACAATCGGCTTTCGTGTTTGCTGCGATTGTCATTACGGTCATGTGACTATTCGTGTAAAAGCGATTGTAAATGTATAATGTACAGTTATTTGATATAATTCCCATTAGTGCATTAGATGACCAACCTCAGTTTAACAGCTTCGTGGAAATCGCAAATCCATAATCTCGGATTATGAAGTATAAGCCGATAACGTATTCTTATTGAAAAATCTTCCTCTAATATCGCCGATCGATCAATGCTAATGAGATGACTAAATGCAGCTGGAGCGAACACGCATATATCCTCCTCTTGAGCTCGAGATGCGTGTGATACATTCTTTAATGTTAATTAATTCCTATTAATTGACTGCACATTTAATATCGTTGTAAATTAGATCAAAGAAAAGAACTGGCAATATAATAAATTCAATTATTAAAAAACTATAGTTATGATAAATTACTTCTAAACAGCTTTGAGAATAATTGACATCTTTATATGACAACCAAGCATTATTTCGGCGTTATTTAATTTAATAATTATATTAGGTAGTTAATTTAATTTTTTATTTTTTATTAACGAGTTGTTAATTTGTTTATAGCGTTAATGTAAATTTTTAAAAAGGATGCCAAGCGTATATGCCAGCGAATACCACTAAAATAAATTTTTAGCGTTAAATTTTTTTCACATATTACAAAGCGTAATTTTATGATTTATTATTTCAAAGTGCTGATGAAATTCTTGGAGAATTCGGAAAATACTTCTTCCATAATACCGTCACAATCTATCGGATCAGTGGAGCAGATAATCATATTCGAGCGTTATTACGTTATTATAATTATAGTAAATTGAATTTCTTCCTTTTCAAACATCGACACAGAGAACTTATGTACCAGTGATTAAATCTTTCCTGTAAATTACGCATCAATTTTCAAAATACTGAATTGCCTCATTCTCATATGAAGAGTACGAAGAATGGATTGAAAATATCCATAAAGAATATATTTATCACACAACTGTATGTCTTAAATATTTATAGATTTCTTGTAAATTTTTTCTTAAAACTCGCAGGAAGCTTGATTTATGTAAAATTTAGCTTTACTGTAGAATATGAATGAGAGCGCTATTTCCAATATGTTTGCTGTTCACGTGTCATAGTGATCGAGATAGAAGAGGAAGAAACGAGACCTGCCGGATTGATGAGGCTGTGTTGTCGCGGCGGAAACACCCCGCCACCAGATCGACCTGACGAGTGAGTAAATATTCGAGAGAGAGGCCGGCGCAGAACCGCTGCTGTTTCTTAATTTCATTTTCAGTTTCACATTTGTGTTCCAGAACGCAAGAACAGAGAGATGAAAAAATTGAATGCGCATTTCCTCGAGGTAAATTTTAGCTGCATGTTGATATGTTAATTGTTGTACAATAATTACTTTTATTCCCAAATGCCTTTAATTTCGTTTGTTCCTTACTCGCATAAAGTAGATATAGTAAGTTTTTTGTTGTTGCAATAAATGATTCCGACATGCAAGCAATTGCGTAGCAATTATCTGCTAAGGCAGTATCAGTTGCAACTATATGCTATTTTTTGTAATGCTATAATTTATATTTTTTTATTTGCTATTTCTCACTTTTTGCGGTTACAATTTGGCGACCTTGATTTAATTATTTTTCTGTTTTTTAACCGAGAAATTATATAGTTGTTTCATTTTGTAGAATACAAATAAATAAACGTGCATGTTATAAACGTAATTATTTTTTATAATAAGTGCTATCACATATTTTTCTGTAATGCTGAATAATTTTCAAGCCCAGATATTTATATATAATATATATTGACATTATTTTATCTAATGTTATATGCGCGAAATCATTTTTACTTAACGAATAAACATTTAAATAAGTAAATACTTAATGTTGAAACAAATCATCTTTTGTCTCTTGTGTCTCACTTTACAGAGCGAGGAAGTTCTGCGCAGGAAATGGCGAAAGGAAATGACAATGTATTAGAGTTCTCGATTACGTCCAGCCTGTAGATACTTGATGTAATAGCTTTTGCTCCACCGCTTCTTATCTTCCGTTCCATTCTTGATGTTTCCTTCAAAGTAATAGAATTTATCTGAAGTTATCCAAGTAGACTACTGCATCCCTCGCTTTATAATTAGAATTATATTATTGAGTTAAAGTTAAATCTGTTTTTGAACCGAATTTTATTTTAGTAAAATTGCTCTTTTTTGAAGAAATTGAATAATCTTTTATTAACTGAATTGATCAAAAAGAAATATTTCCAAAAATTTATCTATTATTTAATTTTTTAAAAGTTGATTAAGGCGGCCTTATAATGATTTCGTTTGAAATTACATTAATGTCTTACAAATTTATGCAATTTTCTTAACTAAATTTGCTAGCTAATTTTTCAGAGAAATCCGGATAATTATTACAAAAAAAACGTCGTTTCTCTACGTTTCAGGACGACAGTCTAATCGTATCAAACGCGCGAATCTCTCAACGTCCGGCCAGTCTCAGTACTTTTACAGTGGTAAAATAAATCATTGGATCATGGAGCTGCCGATGCTGCAATCGGACTTCCAGTCAAAAGAAACAGATTTTCCTTTGACGCAAGTCGGCACAGTCTGCATCACGTCACAGTGATCGAGGTGGAATTTTCTGTGATTGTATATCAAACTGAATCTTTAAGTCCCATGATGCGATCTATTGACATTTTCTCTTGTAATTATATAAATCAGTGATATCTAAATTTTTCCAAATGGATAATATATATAATAAACATTTCAAAAATTTCTTTCTCGTCACGCACTATAACTAAAACAAAATAACGTTTTAGAATGATTAAATAAATTAATATCTTTTATATTATTGACTTAATTATATTATTTTTAAAATATTCTATACATGAACACTATATGTTCTATACTAAACACTTATATATTTATTTTTAACTAAAATTATACTGGCACTCCATATCTAATTTTTATAATTTTTAGATTTGCTGTAGAAGCAGTAGATGATATGAATCGTAATTTGGACATCACTGATATAATCTATTTGTTAAATAATGATTAAAGTTAAGCATCAAGTACAATTTTAATGATTATTTTGTAAATCAGATTGCTCTAATCTTTTAGATCTTAGCAAAATAATTAAAAAATTGCAATTATTTTAATAATAAAACTAATATCTGCAAAGATATTTATTTGTTTCTTAGTTGTAACTGCAAGTTTATTGTAAAATTTTATAACGTAAAATCAATTTATAAGACTTAATTGTCACATTTAATATGAAAAAATAAAAACTATAAATATTAACTTTTGAGGAAACTTTTGCTAAGAGAAAAACGCTTGAAAATTTATCTCTAAAGATATAATCAATGACACTGATTTGATAAATATCGTATTTAATTGTCTTTATTCGTAAGTCATCATCATCCAGTTCGCTTCAATCAAAAACGCACAATTCATCTGAAAAGTACAATTCGTCTTTTCAATCATAAAAAACTCAAAGCGGAATATCGATTGTCTGTAAATAGAAATCCGGCTTACTAATCGTGAAAGATCCTCTTTACGTCAAAGGAAGCTATCAGATACGAGATTTGACCTTAGCCGACTAAAATTGCCCGCTCATTATCCGGCAGAATCCTGCACTTTAACACTCATAATTGGTGGCGCGGATCAAAACGTTTAAACGTACACGAGCTGAACGCTAAATGGAGAAGTTTGAAGGTCGCAAAGCGCTATTAAGAGAAAAACTGCGAGAGAGTAACTTTATGAAAGATTACGGTTAATCCTAGTTAATAACACTAGAATGAAAAATTGGACATTCCGACATAGCTTATCTAGCACCCCAGTTGTTGCTCTTTCATGTATGTTCATCGTGATTTTTAGATAAATTTTCTCTCTTATCAAACATCTAAAATTCTTATGGTACTCCAATTACAGTCCGAGAATTGCAATTTGGACGCACCTATAAATGGCATGAAAATATGGATTGTCGGCGATTCGGAACATAAGCCGTGTTTATTGCCAGTACTGAAAATCTACTTAACGTAATATACGTAAACTATAGATTTTCAATACTAGCAGTATATATTGTTATCGTCCTTTGATTTCGCCTCCGCATCCTGCTGACTGGCAGAACGCGGAGGCGAGATCGGAATATGGCCATAATTGAACGGTTTTACCTAATTATTGTTAAATTAATTTGCAAAATGTTTGTATTGTATCTCTTATTATGGAATAAATTAAATTTCAATTGCAAATATTGAAATTTTATTTTATAAAGGAATTATACATACATTCTCTTCTATTAATATCATATTGACATTACTATTTAATTATTCATCCACCTATATTATGACCTTCGCGTTATTCTCTCTTTCTATAACTATTCTTGTATTAAAATAAGCGTAAAATCTTCTCGGATACATAGAACAGATTTTACTAAATAACTTATCTAATTTTAGAAAAATCAATTCTCACGATATCGTTTGTAATTTATACCACAAAATTACGGTCGTTAAAACTTAGCTTTATTATCTACTTGGAAATTTCTCTTTGAGAGTATTGTGTTACAAATCCAGCTAATTTATATATTTATTGCGGCGACGATTGCAATAGTAAATGAACAAGAATGTGATGAAGCGAAAAATGTTATTGAATACGACATGCAAAGATATATTGAAATATATTTTAATGAGTAACTTTATATTTTATACATGCAATTCTCAATGATTGAATTAATTACAATTTCAATATAATATTTTTTCCGGCTACAAGATTATACGTACTTTAGTATAGGAAAGTTTATAAATTCTTATGTCGCGAAAGTGACGTAAACGAAATATGAAAGTTTTACACTTCAATAAAGTAACGTCAAAGAAATTTTCAACGTGAAAGTGACTTTACATCGCGCATAGCAGCACATATTATTTATGAAACTTACTTCAACAGTCCTTCATCAGATATAAGTCGATAAATTTATGACTTATTTCACTTAGAGATCTAGAAGAAAAAAATATTGCCATGTATATATTTTATACATGGAATATACAATGGAATCTCTTGTAATTAGTTGTAAATTGAACATAATAAATTTTTGCGAGTTATTACTTTTAATTAAATTAAATATTTATTTCAAATCTTTTTATAGTATATGTATATAAATTATTTTATATAAATTTAAATTTAATAAATTTTGATAAAAAGATAAATGTTAAACATATTTAATTTAATAAAAAATATTCAAACAGTATCAAAGAATACAAATAACTTTGAGGTGTATTTGGGTACTTAATAAGTATATAGCATTTGAATGAAAATTAGATATGTCAAAAGGAGAAGGGAGAAAAGGATGAGATACAGTAACACAAGCAGCTTGTTTCTAAAGAAGTTTTATTGTGCCAGATCACGTACAATATAAAAAAACTCACTATCGTACAAAATTTGCTACGAAGGAACATCGATTTCTGTCCTTAAAAATGTAATATGAAATTTTGCCCTAAAACGAGAGATTAAGCCATCATTCGTTATGTTCAGTCGATAATGAGCAGTTGCGTTGAGCTCTCCAGGTCCTCAGAGACCATTCGTTAAAGCGAGCGCTCTTATGTTTCGCGCTCTTATATTGGTCGTAACATCTCCAATATCATCGCCAAGCATTTTCCATTTTTCAAAGATATTCAACTTACATATGTTTCACGTTAAATATAATATTACATTAATATCGTAACCAAAAATCGAAAAATCTGAAAAATGACTGACTGATTTCACCTCGGACAATTTTTTATATTTTTCGATTTCTGTAATAAAAATTTTTCGAAAATTTTATTGAACCAAAAATCGAAAAATCTGAAAAATGACTATGACTGATTTCACCTCGAACAATTTTTTATATTTTTCGATTTCTGCAATAAAAATTTTTCGAAAATTTTTTTGAACCAAAAATCGAAAAATCTGAAAAATGACTATGACTGATTTCACTTTGGACAATTTTTTATATTTTTCGATTTCTGAAATAAAAGTTTTTCAAAAATTTTATTGAACGAAAAATCGAAAAATCTGAAAAATGACTGACTGATTTCACTTCGGACAATTTTTTATATTTTTCGATTTCTGCAATAAAAATTTTTTTATACATATGTAACATTATATTATTATTTTATCATAACGTATATAAATATTAATTACCTCCATTAATATCACAAATTAAATAGTTATATTAAATTGTATTATCTCTGATATTTTGTTCTTGCTTGATATTTAAGCGATATCTTTAGACTGATGATACAAAACAGAGAATTCTTTCTCCAATTTTCGCATCTGAAATCTAAGTCTTCTAGACAGTTTACGAACGAGTTACACACGAGAAACACTTAGAAGTCGCGAGAGAGATCTACGATAGGACGGACTTGCAACCCTTCATCCGTATTATCATCGTTCATCCAATTGGCAAGTAATTATTGATAATTCTAACGCTGTAAAAAATCTGATCCAATCAATTCATCGCGAATTAACGTAACACTTATCTATCATATTATACATGTCACAAATGTATGTCATATGTAATAATTGTGCCTACTTAAATGATGTTCTACGTCGTAAAGACTATCACAGATACGTTCTAAAAGCCTACAATTTTTATTTGCGCGACAAGTCGATTAACATTCGTAAAGAAACTCTATTAAAGTTTGCTAGTATGTACCCTGCACAAATCGATTAATTAACTGTAATTGGTCTAATCTCTCATTGATTATCAATGGAAAAATCATATTGTCTAATCTCTCAGTACGAATGTCGAAGGAATCTTTCTTTCCAAAACCATTCTTTCCACGCTCGTACGCGGAAATTATCGAAACTCGTCGTGGAAACTTTTCTCAGTGTCTACCATCTTACTGTCCAGAAATAGGTCCATCTTGCTCAGAATTTCCGAAAGATCCACCTTTCCATCTAAATTCGTGTCCGACAGAGTGATCAAATGTTGGGCCTCTTGGATAGCATGTCTGGGATTTCGTGGATCAATATACATCTATAAGCAAAATTTTAATTTATCATAAAGTCAGAAAAAGATCTTGTTTGAATGAAACTTGAAAACAGATTACCTAGATTAATAAAAAAAAGTGATTAATTATTTTGATAAAATAATATACATATTATTATACATAATATACATATTAAATATACATATATAAAGAGTAATTATTTTGACAAAAAAATGATTTTGTTTTAAATAGTAGACTTTCTTTTCAATTAACAGTCTGAAATTGTTGATACATTTGAGGAGAAAACGCTATAAAATATTAATACTGTTCATCGACCATTCGTTCATCGAACTGAGGAGTTCTGTGGAGAGTTCTCCGTGTCCCTTATTAATTTATTTACGCTCTATTACCCACCAGCAACTCGGTTCGATCCGCTTTCCCATTTTTGTTCTTATCAATCAAATGTCGGAACTCCTTACGCCTGTCTTCGCTGCCTCCTATCGACTGCTGTCGATCTTCACGCAAATCCAGACCGACCCCTTCCGACGGTAAATCCGAGAATTCATCCTCCGTAAGCTGCTCGTCGCCATCCCGATCTAAGGGTACATAGACTTTCGGTTATCGCGAATTTGTTAGCCAGAGATAAAGTAAAAATAGTGAAGAGGAGACAATTGCCGACCGAATTTTTCAAAGAGATCCTCCACCATTTGCAGAAGAGCTCTGTGACTGCTCTCGGGATGTGTAAAAGCGAGAAATTCGTCCAGAGCCAGCTTTTCGGGATCGTTCCTAGCCGCCTCGGTCCATCGCGCTCGATCCCTCATTATGCTTTCCTTCAACGCCCTCGGCATCTCACTGTGCTTCTTATTGTGAGAATTTATGTAGGTCTCAGAGAAACCGTGGGTTCTCAAGAAATAAGCGTGATATTCTTCCCACGATACTTCACCTGCGACAAATATTGAGAAGTAATCAATGGCGCTATGTAGTTTATTATTTAACATATTTTATTTCCATTTTTCTTGTCAATTTTTCTATTACCCGTCAAAAAAATTTTTTAATATACAAATTGTGTATTATTATCAGTTGACTTGTTTACCTATAAATTAACTAATAAAATCAAAGAGCTTAATTAAATTAGCGTGTTCTATCGTCCTACTAATTTCATTCTATAAACAATAAATGCGCGCGTGTATTATGGCGAAAATGTGGTTTTCTCTGATATTCCGCGTTAATATTTAATTTGACAGATCGAAAGGGAGAGATATAGAAACCACACGTCAATTATTCTCGCGCAATTCCTACGTGCTGTAGATTGAAAACCACTCGACTCGGAAACGGTGTCATCGGGAAATAAAGCCATCCGCGCGGATAACGCTGGTTAACGTTAGTTAAGCTTCGATTGATTTTAATTAACGCTTGTGCAAACCGCATCCCAATCAGCTGTGCGTATACGGAATATTCATACCGTTTCTAGGATTGTTGTCGATCGCGGTGAACAAGCCGACGTTTTCTCGCATAGCGCGCGTAATATGCTCGGTGATTTTCGCATGAATCCACTTGGCCAGTTCCTGGATATCCAGTAATTGGTTCTCATCGGTATCGGCACGCCGAAAAATGTCCTCGAGAAGGTTCCGCGGATCCTGACGATTCTCCGCCTCCACGACCTCTCGTACACTCTCGTCGTCGCCGTGCCGATCGATTCCCGCGTTCTTGTAACCCGCCAAGTTCTTCTTGCCGGCCGTCACGGCCTCCAATTCGAAGAACAGGCTGTCTATCGCGACACCGTCTTTATCTCGGTCACTCGGAGTCGATAAACTTTTCAGAGGCACGCTTTTATTGTACTTGACAAATAGGAGCGACAGATAAATCACGAGCGGCACCAGAACGGTCCAACGCAGGAATCGCAGGAAAGTTAATTCCTGCTTGCAGATCGCCTTTCGTACCTTTTAAAGTGATTTAATCTTTATGAATTTCTTCTAATAAGTTATATTCATATATTATTGAAAATAAAAAATTATATATACAATATAGGAATAGATAGAAATAAGATTGCAAATATAGATAATCATTTGCAGGGAAGAAGAACATAGGGACTTGAATAAAAGGTATCAACAAATATTGAGATGGAAAATTCAGTCAATATAGAAACCAGATATAAAATATAAATCGCGCGTAATGGACTACATTAATAGATACATACAAAACTCCGTTTACTTGTACTTTATTTATGTAAACAAGTTTATATTCCAAATATACGAATTTATAGCTGAGTTTTTATTATCAGAACTATTCGGTTATAACAGCTTAATTGACGTGCTTGACTTCAGTTTCCTGAACAGCTGCTTCTATCGGAATTAATAAGTTAGCTTCTATTGTCGAAATTATTAAATGAGCCTCTACGCTCAGCTTCTATTAGCTGAACCATTTGATTCAGCTTGTCTCCCAACATGTAATGGATAAACAGAGTTCTACTGTATTTAAATAAAACAGCAAGATTGCCCAATTATAATCAAATTTAAGATATATTATAAATAGTATATTATAAATAGTACCAATGTTAAATTAGATTTCAGAGTTATCAGTAAATGATTTAAATAAAAAAATATAGATAATATTCCCAAATCATTTATTTCTTGTAATTTATAAATACATTTGATTTCCATTACAAATAATATCTCGTCGAAAAAGTCTATATACATATAATTATATATAGAATATCTTCTAATAAATTTTTTTCTCTGTTTTATAATCTGTTTACAAGATGTAAAAAGTAGGGCGTATTTTCTCTTTACACCGTATTTTTTGTATTGCTTGAATTATGCTATAATGTATAAAATTGTACACTTTTATAATATAATTTTACTTTGTATAAAAAAACAATACAAAAATTATTTTTTATATAAACAAAGATACAAGAGAAAAAACATGTATTGTATTTACAATTATATGTATTTACTTATTTATATACTTTTTATCAAAATAATTATCCTCATAACAAACTATATATTTAAAAATATAATAAATATAAAATTTAATCTACATATATTTATTTCTTAGTTTTATTTTTTGCTTAATAATGTAACAATAAATTTTGAGAATGCTTCCTATTTTTTAATATAATGCTTCAGCTGAGTGTTAAAACATTAAAAAGTTTCAATATACTATATAGATACAAAAATATAAATTGCAAAATAAATAATGTTGATATAATTTAGATTAAGAATTAAGAAGCAGGAGCAATTTTATGTGGTAAAACGCCGATAACATCGTTGTTACTCACAAGATGAGACAGGTACATCTCGGCCACGTAACATGTACACGCCGGTGACCCGAGAGCCGCTTTCTAATTCCCTCTTCGTACTCGCCGTCAGTCGCGAACCGGCGAAGTTTCCAATCTTTCCGTCTTCATGCAGTGAGGATCGATCTGTTGTCTGTCCGTCACTACCGCGCCTGCATAATCTCGTAACGCGGGACCGAGGTCGACCCTTCGATGGTCGCGGTGATAAACAGGCAGAAGGGAAGAATTAATCGAGGATCGAAGGACGAGAGAGGACAGCCTCCCGGCGAGAGCTGTCAATCTACTTAATCGTCTCGAGATATCGAATCCCGAGCCGCCAAGACGAAATGCCTCGCGCGCCGAGTCGGACACCCTCGATAGAACACCGACGATTCTACCCCGCGTTTCATCCCCTACGTCTGCCGCGTGGAATTCGGCGGCGAGGCCGACGATCGCACGACGACTGTCAAAGGGACCGAGGATTCTTATCCGTCAAACGCGATCGCCGCGAGTGTCTTGCGAGCGCGGACAAGGCGACCTCGCTTCGCGGAGAAACAGCCGCACGCTGCCAGACGGTCCGCACGCTCACCGCGTATTGATCCACTTTCACTGTGTTTCGTTCTCCTTCTCTCCTCCCTCCGACAATAACACAAACGGTGTTAACGTACGTTCACCATGTACTCAGACACTTTAACAGGATGCCGATACTTGTACTCGGTCGGTACCGGAAGTGGTTTTCTTTTTTTTTTTAGTGTGTCCTCTTATAATTAACGAAACGCTAACGAAAACTTTTTATTTCACTACTACAATTGCGTTAAATTCCAAACCAGAATAGGAATTTGAATTCTACTGTATTTAAAGTTATAGTTATAGTTTGTCTGATTAGACCACAAAATTCTAGTGAAACTACATTTTTATTCTCAAATGAGATAGATAAAAGTTTAATGTTATGTAATCAATTCGAGATTAATTACTGAGAGAAACTTTAAAGAAAGATTTCGTATTATTAAAATTGGTTTACTTGTAAGAAATTATCTAGCCCAATATAATTGGCTAGATTGAGAGGCTAGAGGCTATTAATCTATGATTAATTATTAAAATCGATCTTTCTTTAAGCTTTATAATTATTGTTCTACATCCTTAAATATTTATTGTTCTATGTACATATATTTACAAAAATAAGTATAATAATATTATATAAGTTTGATAATACCTATTTTAATCTATTCTAAAACGTACGCAGAACCACGTTGTCTTGTTAATAAATTATGCGAAAGCGAAGATAAAAGTACGCTGAAATAGTCAAGCATCTTTAATGCGCGCAGGATACCCATCCATAAAATATATGAATTCCTGAAGCAAAGCGATACGCAAAGTGTAGAATATAAGGATAAAGTAATTCCGAAAGTAAAATCGGTCGTGTGTCAAATGAAAGAAAAAACTTAAATAATCTTTTTCTGATTTACTCACATAATACCTCATAGTGAATTTTATATTTATTTATTGATGTGTTTTTATAATGCATAAAATATAAATAAACCATACGCGGGATATATTTAAATTTCTTGCTATCGCGTTCATATAGAAAATTAGCAAATCAAATCATATTATTCGGAACGTTAAAAAGTGCGCTCAAACAATGCACAGATGTATTTCTTTCGGTAAATTATACGACAATGTTCTCATGCAAACTCGATAATAAAAAAATCATAAATTTTCTTTTTTATCTTGCCTGTTCCGTAATAATGTCATGATGCACTCGAAAGATAATGTCATGGTACATGGGGAAAGACATACGTGTCTCTTTGAATGTATATGTCTTTGGGAATAAATTTCGAAGCGCCGCAACGTTCACTATTTTGTCAGTCACTTACTCTCGGATCGCTTAGCGCAGGAAGAAAAACGTACAAGTGTTAGAAAAAATAAGACTCTCTGTAATTCTCTTAAACTACTTTTGTATTTAAACTACTTTTGTATTCAATTAATTCTCGTGGTACGATACGGTATTTTGCAACTCTAGGTTTATTCTCAACGAGCCCACGAGTAAGAACGCTGAGTGTGTCTCGAACAACAGTTATTTGATTGTCTTTTGAAATTAATACTAACAAAAAAATTGTGAAATTTAATATTTACAATTCTTTCTATCCAAGTCCAAAACGACCCATAAGTCCGAAAAATCTGAACGATTAGAACCATCGATCTCTAAATATCTATAACGTTTATTAAACTTCGGCACCGTCTAGAAATAGATTTTACACCTCACTGTCGAGGCTGGAGAGCCAGGTAACTCACGCCTTTGACTATCTGATAAATCATTCGATGAAACGTTGTCTGAACTAAACTACTCTCTCGCGGGCTCGGTATCTGTCTACATTCCCCCGGCTCGAACGTATGATTTTCATTGACGATCTCTCGCGAGAGGATCATTTCGAGCTCTTGCAAACGTCCGTTTGCCGCGGCTTCTCGTCCTCCAGCTCGAGGCCGAAATTCGCGATACCCTGGACATTCGTGGAGGCGCGAGGTTTCGTCTGTATGCGGAACATGGCTGCGATCGGCGGACTTAGAAAATCCTGATCGACGTCGGCGGGATTCTGCGCGCCCGTCGCAAAGCTCACCGCCAGGCCCACTAGCATGGTCAACATGCAACCGATCGCGCTATACCACAGGTAACTGGTCTGCAAATTATATTTTACATTTGTCAATGTACTTATGACGCGATCTCGAATGAATGTCTCCTCTTCCATGAAGGAATACAAACGCGAAATAAATCGGTAAATTTTAAAATAAAATACATGGCAAAAAGAATTAAAATTAGATAATTCCACATATAATTGCGCGAAGCCTAATAAATTAAAATATAATACACAGTAAGATATAAAAATATAAAATTAAATAAATAAATTAAGAGAAAATAAATAAATACTTTGATCTTAAACGTTTCATAGTTTACTAATAAGCGTTTTAATTGCAAAAACGTTGTAAAACTTTAATTTACTTTTACAATAAATAAAAACTCTAAGAGATGTAATTAAGGCAAACCATGCCTTCGAGAGAACAAGTCTCACCTTGTATATAGACAAAACTTCATTATCGGAGTGGTGCTCGAATTGATTGAGCACGATTGTGGTCTCATTTATGCAAGGGCAACCTGCAATCGATATGGGCTTGCTATCCAATTGAATCTGTCCGTTTACAGCAGCAACTTGTGCGCCTAATCCGATCCACAGCACGACTATCAAACTCGTAATGGCACCTACTATTGCTCCTTTAGCATTAGCCCACGGCAAAAACATGCCCAAGGAGAATAATCCTAGAGTCACCCCGCCAACCATGCCATTGAAAGACAGCGCAACCTAAGAACATTGATTTTTTTAAAATGCTTTTCGGGATCGCAATGTAACTTACAGCGCGATAAGAAAGAAAAAGATATCAAAATTTATAAAAAACTGGATCATGCAGGATCAAAATTATTAAAAATATTATAAGATATTATGAAATTTTATATTTTTTATTAAGAATATATTCTTTGACTTTGCAAAAATCGTAAGCAAAATATATAAGCTACCTGTAAAACACTACCGAGACGCTCGACGACGAAGATCAGCGCGAAACTGAGAGTTCCAAAAAGTATGCTGATCCACCTGGCGTAAACGGCGCCTTTACTCACTGGCAAATCCATCTGGAAAAGCCCGCGAAGAATATCCTCGCAGGTTATCGCCGCCAATGAGTTCAGAGCACTTGCCACAGTTCTGAAAATACAATTCAAAATATTTCCAAATTCAATTCAATGAATTCATGAGCTTAGGCGAGAAGTAAATTTATTACTCATTGAATGTTATGTATTGTTTTTTTTAAACATTCTACGAACCCGAGAGACGCGGCGAAGATCCCAGCTACAAAGAATCCGGGCATTCCACGAAGGCCTCCCAAGAAATTCATCACGTACAGCGGAAGTATTTGATCCTGGCCATCTATATATCCGGCTGTCAAAGGATCGCAGTCTTTGTAAACGCTGTACAGCACCATTCCAGTCAAAAAGTTAACACTATAAATTAGAATCATGCCGAACGAAGACACCCACAACGCTCTGTAAAAAACGATAATTAATTAATAAACGGTAACTTGTTTTTAACAATATATAAATATAAATCTTTCAAATTCATTGTATTTCATTCACGCACTATAAAATAAGTAATGATGAATAAAATATTATTCGTGAGATTATAATTTAAAAATCGACTAACATTTTACTAAACGTATTTACAGACTTATCGCGTTAATGTCTCGGAAACTTACATCCTTACTTGCGAGATGCTTTCGACACTGAGATACTTTTGGACGGACGCCTGGTTGCTGCAGAACATGGTGGCCCAGTAAAAAGTACCACCGATCGCAACACTCCAAAAGCTGTGCCGCACCGTAGGACTAGGATCCATATTGAAAAATTCTATTCGGCCGGATTTCGCGTTTTCCTCCCAAACGTGCGCAATTCCGCCCGCCCAGAACAGCCCGTAGCCCAAGATGAGGAACAGCGAGCCGATAAGGACAGCGGCTTGGAAGGTATCGGTCATTATCACGGCTTTCATACCACCCTGACGAGCAGATGAGTACGTAAATATTATTATGGATAAGAGAACACAAATGTTGTTGACGCTTGTAAAAGGAAATTGCATATATACACATCTTTTGCAGGGATTGTTACGCATAATTAAATATGCGCAATTATTTAATTGTATATGTGTAAAAAATACAAACCTGTGAGGCGTAGAAAATGCAGACAACGTAGACTAGAGTGACGGCTATGTAAGTATTCAGGCCCGTGACTGTAAATTAAAAAAAAACATCGTTTATAATTGTAACTAAATTTTGAAATTGATACTATCAATTGTGAGATTATTAACAAATCGACACATGTAGATTGTAGCAGAAAATATTTATTTAGTCAGCGATTATAATAATACGAATAGCACGCTAGTAATACGAATAATTTTGAGAGATTTTTGAGTGTGCAAAAGTTTTTCTTCTTTTTGCGAAGTTGTGTAAACACTATAAACTAATGCCATAAATATAACAATTAAACTTTAAAATATTTAAAATATACTTTATCTTACACTTCCCTAGAAAAAAAATACTTAGGCCACGTTATGATTTATAATTCTCAACGTGTTAAAGAATTTGCAGGCTATCATACAGTCATTACTCACCGTGACTTAACGCTAATGCGGGTGCGTACACAGCTACCGACGTGTACAACACCATTTGCAGCATATACAATACACTCGTGAGCAATCGGCAGCGCTGGTCGAAGCGCAGATGTAGGTATTCGTAGCTCGACGTCAGCCTTAATTTCATGAACACCGGCAGGTACAGACACGAGGTGATCGGTACCACGAGTATGAAAGAGAGGCAAGTCATCCAGAATTGAGTACCCTGTAACGAAATCATAGTTGTACAAATTGATACAGTCGGTGCGCTTTTCAATCGTCGAAAAATCGTATAACAGACTTTAAGAATTCGTGTCTTCGAATTACCGCACCTGTCCATACATCTCCGCAGGATTTCCCAAAAGTTCAATGGCCGTGATGAAGCTGGCGGCCAGCGACATTGCCGTGGGGAAAGTGCCCATGCTGGAGCCACCCAACAGAAAATCCTGGCTGGTCTCCTGCTTTTTCGAGAAGAAGCCGTAGAAGGTGCCAATCAGGCACGAAACCAGCAGCATGATGGCGAGCACTGTGTAATCCGCCCATGAGAAATAGTGGAGCAGGGTGGGATGATCCTCATGACATTTTTCTTCGTTGCTTTTTACGCGCCGTTGCTCTGCGGACGACGCTGATAGGAAGAGGAACAGGACGAGAAGATGCGGCCGCATTTTCTGGAAATAGATACCGATTTCTCATATTTTACGTATTTCTATAAAGTAAAGATTTTCAGCCAGAAGAAAAGAATTTACAAATTTGAGAATTAATTGAATAAATTTCAATTAAAAAAAAATAAACTTTATAATCATAATCATAAAATTTTCAATAGTTTAGATCCTAATTTTCCTTAGAAAAGTGGCGAAAAAAGGAAATTAAGAAAACAAGATAATATAAGACAGATCGTAAATATCATAAAAAAGATCGGTATTATGTGTATCAATAATCTGTAAATTAACAATTTATTCAGAATGTACACTTGTCGCAACTGTCAGATTTAATTACATCATTATTTATTTATCAACTATCTGCTTTGTGTGAATTAATTAAGTATCAATCAATTATTCATTTTCACTTCATGATTTACATAAATCGATGTTTCATCACATGACTGCAAACCAATAAAATTTTACGTATGTCAAATCGAATTCTTAACATGTTCAAATATTTGTTAATTTGATTAAAAAATCATCTGCTAGCATAAATTAATACAAGGATATTTGACGTTAAGCGATATAGCAAGTTATGGAAAATTATTCAACATTTTTAACGATGCTTTAATAACGATCATTTAAATTGATATACGAGACTGTCTCAATTGGTTCTTTCGTTTGACACCGTTCACTTTACGTTTTATCGATTAGAGAGATATATCACGTCAATTCAAACGTCATCGGTATAACTCCAATCAAAATATCAATTAACTCAAATCAATGTATATCAGTCAAGGATATCAAAAATGTATAGAGTGCTAAAAAGAAATATTAAATTAGCTTATTTTACAAATTTTGTCAAGAAATAATGCTATTTATGTCATCAAACAGAATAATTAATACATAATATATCATGAATAAATTATCGAGAAAATAAAATTTAAGCTCGATATCCAAGTTAATAAATAAAACAGATATGACGGCCAAATTAGAAATTATAATTTTCTAAACAAAAGTAAACACGAAGCAGTCTCATTAAGTAACTCTGTCATTGCGTGAATATACATAAAAAATTGAATAACTGAATAGTAAAGTATAGATACTTATCAAGAGAAACACGTCATTTGTTGACTGTCTATCGATTATTAATTTATTGCGTAATCAAATCAGCGAGGAAGTGCAACATAGTAATTATGGTTTAATAATTTGCGCATGATTATAAACAATAATTGCTAGTAACTATCATCAGCATTGTTATTAACTATTCTTTGATCATTAATTGAGATATATGTTCGAACCGGTTAAAATTATAGTTCACTGGTTAAAACCGGTTACTTCAATGTCGAAATATAACTTGATAGATTACCAATAGAATTGTTTGTTATTAATTTTTATTTTTAATTATATTTTATTATAATTTAAAAAATTGTAATTTATTTTAATTAAATCTATAAACAAATTTTTTTAATTATTTTAGAAACTGATTAATATAGTTACAATATTTTGTTAATTTCTTAATAATTATAAATTACATAATCCATATTAACATATACATTAATTCGACAAATACATATTACACAATATGTTATATTTTCGAATTTTAAAATCAAAATAAATTTTAAGATTAAAATAATTAAAAATTCATTATAAAAAAATGTATATAAAAATGTCAAAGGACAGTTTATAGAAAGTTAACAATAAAGATTAAAAATTAGTTTCACAAATTAGTTCAACCACCTTTTAAAATTGAGTAATTTATTGGATCTATTCTTATCTTCTTTCATAGAATCTTTGTAAAATAATGATTATATTAGACTATTAGTATTTAATTTGCTATTGTAAAAATAAGCCGAAAAGAATCAGAACGTCTGAATATTCCAAATATTTGTTACAATACCGGTAAGCCACGTACATTAAAGATAAATTGCTAACTATTAATGGCACTGATGTATCTAAATTAAACAACAGTTAAGGAAATCAATTTGATTGTACTTAACGAATTATTTTGTAACTAATAATATATCTGATATTAATTTTAAAGTATCTCACGTATCTGATAAGATAGACGTGCGGCACACAACTGTTTAGAAATGAGCATAGAATAATACGAATTAATATATAGTAACTGTCATATAAAAAAATTTTTTTTCCTTTTTATCTTTGCAAAATTAAAGATGTTTGTTTTTTGAGATTTATTTAGCATTTTATCATGCGCTAAAAATACTTCAAGCATCAGGAATATTAAAAGAGAAAGCAAGCAATAGTCGATTTAAAGTTTAGGCAGACACAAATTCTTTTCGGCTTATTTTAAATAATAACCCTGGTATAAAAGTCTTGTAATATCTCATAACATATAAATTTAAAAAAAATTTTTTTATATCTTAAATTTATGAAGATTTCTAAAAAATTTTTTTAATATTTTCAGATTTTAGTCTTCTTCGATTATATAATAGGAAATCTTAGAATATTTCTGAATTCACATATATAAAGAATTTTCGAAAAGATATAAGCTTTCTTAATATTTTTGTGTATTTTAATTCCTGTAAAAAATCTGAGAAATTTTCTGAAAAATTGTAAAATTTTATTATGAAATTCTGAAAAATTATAAGCGTTCCAAAAAAATTATTCGCCAAAAAAAGAAACTTGCTAGAAGAAAAGTTTGTCGATCTTACCCCTCGATCGCTTCTTTCAAGACGTGGAACGGATCACCCGAAAGGATTTGTATGGAGAATTCTAACGTCTGATCGCGCTTAATCACGCGTGCCAATTTCCAATAGGAAAGTGCGAAATTGTAACTGAATGATTTTGCTCGTTTTCCTAACGTAACGCATATATGATCGGCTTTAGCTTCCCTCGAAAACCCCGCTCTTTCGCGAGTTCGCTAGTCCCGCCTGAAAGGACTCGTAATTCTCGACAAAAATTCGCGATATTTGCGAAAAGCTCTCGGGCTTTCGCTTTTTTCACGCCCACCTCGTCCGCGGCTTTCGCGATATTAAGGAACGCAGGAACGACGGAGATTAAACGGAGAATGTAGAATGAAATCGAGACTGATCGTTTTAATTGTCACGTGTGCGCCTTTATACGAACGGTCCCGTCATCATCCCCCTACTACTATGACGAGTTTCAGCGTGAAACTCACCAAAACGGTAACAATCATCTAGCCACCGCAGTGCATCGATAACAAATCGATAAATCACGTAATTGATCTTATATCATTCTCATTTATTTATTCGCGGTTTTTCAATTCTGCGTATTAATACAAAATGCGCGCTTCCTTCATTTTCTCGATTGCATTTTGTCAGTTTAAACACAATAATTTCAAGAATAATTATTTTCTTATTAAAGATAACAATACGCATCTTTTAAAAATGCAACATGGCTTAAAACTTAATTTTCACGCACAATTAATCAAGATTGAAGGCTGATAAAACGCACTTATGTTCTGCACTATGTTGCACAATACGCCGCGTCTATGTATTACAAAAAAAAAACGATCATTTTAGTTATATAAACGAGATATATATAAAAACATTTGAAAGATTACGACAATTATTTGTTAAGGTAACTCAACCAAAACGGTTGTATTGTGGTAAATTATTTCCTTTCCAAGATTCATATATTCCAAGGTTAATGTATTGTTACAATGGACAATATTTGAGATTGGAGATTCATTGGGGATCGTTTGAACGCATACAAAACTGGTGTAGCGTAACAAGTACATCGCCTAGTGATGAATATTTGCTAAAAAATATGTGTTTAAAAATGAATATCTGATTTTGTAAGTTCATTCCACGTGATTTATTTTGTATGACGAGAACAATGCCTAAGATACAAAAGAATAAAAATACATGTTTCCATTATACGGTGTCCTACACGCATTATTCTCTGTCGTATTCAAAATCATTATAATAAATTATTATTACCAGACGTAATTAATAATTTTTAATTTACGAATGTAAAAAATATCAAAGAAATAATGGCAGGGAGAGAGAGAGAGAGAGAGAGAGAGAGAGAGAGAGAGAGAGAGGAGGGAAGGGAGAGAGATATAATATATTTTTAATTATAATTTTATGTTTTTCCATATTTTTAAAATTATTATATTAATTTTGTAATATTTTGTTACATTATTAATTCTGTATTTTTATCTTTGTTGCAATAATGTAAAAAGGAATAATAAAAGGTTTATAATAAAAAATATTTACATGTAAAAAGTGTATCTTTTGATAGAAAAGTCAAATATATTAACAGATTTGCTCTTTCTCTCTCTCTCTTTCTCTCTCTCTCTCTCTCTCTCTCTCTCAATGTATTGTATGTTTTTATTTCATTCTTTCTGATAAATATTTATCTGTACCCATTAGTATTATTATTGAAAATTATGATTTTTATTTTTGTTTAATTATGCGCTATGACGTATACAATATTCAATGACAATGAACGTAATATTAAGATCGATAGTCGTTCCGCGACACGAGCTAGGACAAGAAGCCAATGTCGCATATATGTCCAACGTATACGAAGTCGCAGTACGCGCGAAAACCACGCCGCGAATCCAGCCAAGTCCACATTTAACCGGTTACAGTTTACAGGATGATAAACAAACTAGCTAGGTAAACGGGGATTTCTAGCAGATATAGGATTTATGCGTTGATGTGCGTCAATTGATATTGAAATCGCATAAAATCGTGCATTTAATTAAAATCATAATCTAGAACTTATAACAAACATCGGATGGTCCTTTGAAATGACGTGCTCTCTGACACATATACGTAGAAATGTACATATGTGTTGATTTTGTAAAATAAAAAAAGTAAAACTCGAATGAGTCAAGTTTTTGGTACTGAGAAATGCATTGTAAATTGTTCGCGCGTTTTTCCCTGATCAAAGAAATATTAAAAGATGATAATCTTTAGAATGTATATATATCGATCTCCTACGAAGATAGCGATTTTTACATAAACGACTTCCGTTAATAATTCTTAGATTGTCTCCTGATACCTGTCTCACAGAGAGAACGCACGAAAGAATTTCTCGGACACGTGCACATAGTCGCGCGTTCGGATCTAACCAGATAATTCCGAATAAAATCGACGAAGGGCGGTGAACAGTTTTTATCCGATGCATTTCTAGCGCGCGCTTATCACAATTCCTCGGATTCATGAATGACACGAACAGCAAAATACGTTGAGGTGCTAATTACATATAGTCATTACATATAGTCATTACATGTAAGTCGCATTAATTGTCGAATTATTTTAACGCTGTCAAGACGGTTCCGCTAATTTGAATTACTTGGCTATTACTTACTGCTCATTAAACTTTAGTCGTAGAAAATCGTAAACGCTTCATAAAATCGTCAAATTCATATAGAAGAGCGGTCATTAAGCGGTCAAAACTGTCGTGGTAAGTCGTATTGCATTGACCAGATCACTTATGCATACGTTTTGTTTCTAAAATTATACACAGAATTACACACGGAAACGCGTATATATCACACTGCAAACAAACGAATTATTATTCTTGTACATCACTCTGCGATTGAACACACGAAATAGAGACTTCATTCCTACTAGAATCCGAGGCGCAGCACGTATGTACAAATATTGTTGACATCGAAAGCCGAAGATAATTTAATGTGTCAAAAACAATACAGCGATAGCGCGGGAATCAAGAGAATTACAAAGATTCATTACTTTTTGAAATAATATATATGATATCGTTTAACAGTTTAAAGATGTTTAAATTATAAAAATAAAATGTAATTAACTTTATTTATAATATTATAAATGTACAAAAATTTATACTGTTTTAATTATAAATTTTATGACATTATATTTGCTTAACTATTATTAAATTAAATTAAATTATAATTACTTTCATTTCAAATTATCGCAAATTATCAGCAGGACAATTGATAACTGAAATTTAGATTGAAAAAACATATAGAAGTACATCGTTTTTAATCTCTTGTTAAAATTATTAAATTGTCTATTAAAATTTTAAATGACAGATAAACGCATTTGATGCAAAGCTAGACTGCTTCCCGCCAATTCCAACGGCATGAGCCATAATTTTCTTATCTTTTTTAAGCTGTAATTAAAGAAATGAAGAGTGCCAAATTAAATGCGGCCACGAGGCAGCGACGGGGGCACACGTCAAGGAAACTGATCGTCGCGCGATGGAAGGTCATCGAGACATTTGACATCTTTAACGAAGACGAGGCTCCCACTGCCTTTGCACTGATGACTTAATTGATCATTAACAAACGGTTACCCGATCCAGGAAGAAAACTCAGACACCGGGAGCTATTTCATAGCTTCTACTTCCCCTCGCTCTCTCACCCCCGCCATCCGACGGGGTTTCAGTGGAAAAATAATTAAAAAGGGCCCATAGAGAGCCCCGATCGGCGGTCCGACAAAGTCGCATAAATTGAAACTGGTTTCAACTGGCCAGCGTTGGTTCAATCTGGCGTTTCGCAATCCGAACAAGCCTAACCAGAAGCTTTCCGCTGCCACCTTGGCTTTCTCCCCTCCACCATCGTGCGATGGTGTACCATCTTTTTGCATAAGAGGTTTTTTTTCTTTTTCGTTTCTTTTGCCCGTTCTAAATCGCGAGGATGTCGGAGAAAGTCGATATAGTTGCGTTCGCGTCGTAAGGCTACGCAGTGAAGCCGCGAATTAAAAGCCAGGTAAAAAACAGATGGAAAGTTTTTTTCACTTTTATTACATATCCTGAAATTATCGACTGTTTTAGCCGTTTAATGACGAAGCTATTGTTAGGTTGCATTACACTACTGATACTTAGCGAGACTTTTTTCAGAATAATAAGATACATACGAATAATTCTAGATGTGAAATAAGATATAGAGAATTATATACGCTAACGAATTCCAAAATTCTTATGGAAACGAAGACATAAAGGTTTGCAAAAAATTATCACAACATTTAAATGTGAAAATAAAGAATTCCGTAAGATTTTAGCGTAAACAGGAAAAGAATATCTGTTTCATAATAAAATTGAATCTTTAGCTATTTAATTCCTAAATCTACATTAAAATGAATAATGAGAAAGAAAGACGATGACACATCGATTTCGTGCAAAATACTATGACCTGCAGAATTATTATAACCGGATAAAGACTAATTCTAAATCTAAAAATGTATAGACTTAAATTAATATGTTTTATTGTGTTAAGATGATAAATCAATCATATTTGAGAGAGGACAATAGAATTGTCGATGTAATTTTAAAATCGTTTTATTTTTATAGTGCATAAGATTACTATTAAAATTAAATAGCATTAGAAATATTTTTTGTCTCATTCAGAAATCTATTCTGAAACAACATTAAAATTAAATTATTAAAGTTTCACACAGATCTTATCGGCAGCATTATCTTTCTGAGGGATTACGTCACTGAGAGCATACATTCTGTTTAATGCAGAATTTTCTTCACACTCTACGTTGTTACGTCGTCTGTAATGTATACGCCGCGCTATAATGGGAAAGAATAAATTAATGTCTAACTCATCGTTTTGATTCTTAAAAATTAAATGAGACAAGCTGCTGATGAGCAATCCAAGTAAGAACGTTATTAAGAATCCGAGGGGAGAGTACCACATGTACGAAATTCGATATAAATAGAAGTACGAGCTGTCACCGGTGCTTCTGAAAAGAAGATATAACAATGTAATTGTTATCTCGCGTATACATAAGAAAAAAAAACAGTTTTAAAGTGTAGGGAAATTAGACCCTGGAAAAACTCGAAATTAGCGGAATCGGTCGAGCACAAATTTTGAAAGTGCTACAAATTTTTTGTCGAATAACTGCAGAAATATAATATACATAGAATCTGTTAATATAATAGAATAGAGGAGATTGTAATATTATTTAAAAAATTAAGTAAATCTATTTTTTATAATCAATTAAAGAATGTATTTCATTTGTTTAAATATTTACAAAATAACTTATCGGCTTGTGTCAAATTAATCTGCTGTTAAATTATATCAACAAAACACGAGTTCAATGCGAACCATATCGGAACTGTGACATCTGAGTAAATCTGCTACTAATCTGTTGTCATTTTGCAAATCGTGTGCTTATTGAGTAATTATGTTGAATCTCGAAAATTATGTGGGACACTGAAATATGATAATAATGCCACAAAAAAGTTTTGATTCTAGCAATTATTTCGAGCGTTCTACATACTTATATTAATGGTTCAACATAATTATTTGCATATAACTTAATTTTTATATTTTTAAATAAACCGTTTCTTCTAGTTATTATTCAATAAATCACTTACTTGGAGAAGTTCGTGACGTTCTGCAAAACGAACATTGTTATATTTGCAACATTATTACAGCCTTCAATAGTAATTGGCAATTTAGGTGATATCGGCCGTGGCTGACCTAAAACGATCCAAAATAAAAATGAAAATGCTGTAAGTGCACCAGCTATTGCACCACCTTCCGTCGCCGATTCTGTGCCCATGCCAAGCGTGAAAATGCCTAACAACGGACCACCGACTACTCCGAAAATAATTGTGCCAGTCTACAATAAAAGAAATTACTTTATCGCCATCTGTCTTACGTTTAAAAATACTAATGAGCATTACCTGTAATATTCCGCCCCAAAATTGCGCTAAAAATGCCAGCGCGATAGAAATGATACCGAACATAAAAGCAAGCACTTTAGCGATGAAGACTGACTTTGTAGGGGAGAAATCATGCCCGATAGATTTTCTATATAAGGGTTTTATATAATCCTCCAACGTTATTGCAGCCAAAGAATTTAGTGCTGCAGAAATCGTGCTAAGGCCTGCGCTAAAAATACCTGGAAAAATATAGAGAATCCATGATTAGTACTTATTACAAATATCCACTAAGCGCTTTTATTTAAAACAG